CCTGCATCTGCTTGCTTGGCAGTCAGGACTTGCAGGGTTCTGCACACACAGAAGCCTTAAATCACTAAAACTTCCATGGTGTAACATTTCAACTGTAAATGGCACAGGTTGCTGCTACACATCCCATCTCCTGGGCTGCTCTGCTGTTTCCTTGTCATGTGTTTCCCTGGATGATTTTTTCCCATGATTTACTTTTCCTCAGTGAAAGTATTTTTCATCTCCCTTCTCAGAATTTTACCTTTGGAGGCTTGGTCTAGTTCTTTGGCTAGAAAGATCATTTTTGTTCTGATCTTGTCCTTCATAGTGTTTGCAAAATCTCCAGTTCATTGTCTGAGTAAACATAAGCATTGACTAAAACCAGAACAGACCCTTTGGGACAGAACATCTGTCTGAGTTTAATGACAACATCCTCATGGTAATCTTTTAATATATTTTTTAACAAGTAGTGCACCTGTGCTATGATGATTTCATTTGCACGTTGGTTTTCTCCGATTGCTTATCAGAATATTACACCAAATCTTATCAAAACCCTTAAAAAGTCACATCTCATATAGAGCTTTCCCTTTCTCTGCAGGCTGGTTGTCTCAGCAAGGGAAATCAGCTTTTTTGACATTATTTGTCTTAAATAATGCAACAATTATTATTTGTATAATTTCGCTATCCTTTGAGGTACATGGAAATGCATTGTTTAATAACTTGTTTTGGGGTTTGGAGATGCTCCAGGTTTTTGCACTATTTTATTTCATTATTTTTTCTTAAAAAAAAGAAGGGCAATGAAGCTGGTGAAGCGTCTGGAGTACAAGTCATATGAGGAGCAGCTGAGGGAGCTGGAGGTGTTTAGCCTGCAGCAAAGGAGGCACAGGGGAGACCTTATTGCTCTCGACAACTGCCTGAAAGGAGGCTGTAGGAGGTGAGGGTTGGTCTTTTCCCTGCAATAGGAAGTGATAGGACCAGAGGAAACAGCCTCAAGTTGCACCAGGGGAGGTTTAGATTGGATATTAGGAAAAATGTCTTCATGGAAAGAGGGGTCAGGCACAGGAGTAGGCTGCCCAGGAATGTGATGGAGGTATTTAGAAGATATGTAGATGTGGCACCTGAGCACGTGGTTTAGTGGTGGAATCAGGAGTGCTGGTTAATGGTTGGACTTATTGATCTTAAAGGTCTTTTCAGACCTGGTAATTTTTACATAATAACTTTTATCCAAGGATCATCTTACAAAGCACAGCTCCAATTGCAGCATGAAAAAGGCTCTGAAACAGAACTTGTCTGAGCTAGTCCTAGTTCTGCAATACTTGCAATGATCAGATAAGTCTCTTTCTGACTCTCTCCCACTGACTCAGTTTGCTTCTCACTCCTTATTTTCCTCTCAGGTATATTTTGATGGTTAATGAATATTTATAAAATGTTCTGAGTGAAACTTGCACATGAAAAATGCAACAGAAGTTGAAAATGTCATAATTACTGATGCGTATTATTTTTTAAAAAGGAAGATAATATTGCAATCAATATCCATGGAGAATTATGAACTATAAAAACAAAGTGAGGACTCTAAAGGTACTACAGGAAATTGTGGCCTGAGGAAGAAAAGCCTTGCAATGGCACAAGGTACAGTGGGCGAGTTTTGAAGATATATGTAGGATGAAGTACTTGTGTTACAGATGGATGACGAAATCCTGTTCAGACTGCAAGTTATTAAAGATGAGGTTCATCATCATAAAGTAACATAATTTTAAAGCAGCAGGCTCAGGTAACACATACTAAAGAACTCCAACAGAACTGCCAAGAGAGATCTCATTTGTAAGAACTCCTGGCATTTCAGTGAATTTTCAGAAGACTCAGAGTATTCTGCCAATGTTTAAGGAAAGAAGATTAAACAAACAGAGCAACCAGGATGACCCAGCTAGCTGTGTTATGGTTAACGTGACACCAGGCCCAAGCAGTACAGGACAAAAGTTGACTCTTAGCCAGGTTGTAAACAAGTCAATAACTGGCAATAATTTTTACTTCTATCAACACTGTCGCATTGATAAGTCCAATTTAATTTATTGACGAAGGCTGTAAGTCTGTTTCCTACAGATTAGTGTAGGAACATATTTCATAACCTATTTCACAAAGTCTTTGATCTACCATTGTGATGTTTTAATAAAGATCTTAGTCAAGTCTGGAGTCACTAAATAGAGACATTTCAGTGTTCTGGGCCAGCATGGGTCCAGAGGCAGGACGTGTGCTTTTGGGCTGTGATGCATAGCAGGCACTTAGCTAACCAGGTCAGCATTAGTTGGGGCTGTCTGCAGTCACCAGTGGTGTGGATCTTCCTTTTCCCTGGTTACCCTCACAGTGTATTGTTGTATTCTGGTTCTTAGTGAATTGTGTTATTTTTCATTTTGCTTTCCCTGAGTTACCCTTGCCTTTCTGTGTATTTAAAATCACCACTGATAGCTTTTCTGAGTGACACAGAGGTTGTTTAAGATGTAAATTACTGTGAGTATAAAGCAGCCAGACAGAGCCAACAGTGGATTAGGAAGGTTGGCATATTCATGTGAAGGTTTTGTAATACAACCAAGTGCAAAGCAATAAGCCTAAGAGCTAAGATCACAGCTCACACCTGTGGGGCCAAGGAGCTGTATAGTGGAAATCAGTATCACCAAGAATTGTAGCACATGGACACTGGAGGCATGCAAATAATCAGAATTATGCTCTTGTAGAAACAGGCAGTGCAGTTAGGGAGAAGTGTGTGACAAGACAGGGGCCAGGTACTCTCTCTCTGTAGGTCACCCTTAACACTGCCACGGAGTATGGCTTTGATTTGTACAGTTTAGGGAGGATAACCATGACTGGAGAAGGTACAGAGAAGAACCCTAAATATGATTTAAGGAGGGAAGGAATGTAAACTGATTAGAGCTAAAATAGAGCTAATTGCTAGGAAGCAGTTCAATCCAGTGTATTTGCTGCTGAGCAGAAAAGCAGTGCTGATCCTGAAGAACTCTTTAATACAGCAGGCTGTAGCAAAAAACATGGGCTGAAAGCTGAAACAATAAATGTTAAACTAAGCATAATCTCTAACACTGAGGAAACAAATTATCAGGTGCATTGGACAATTCTCCATTATTTGGAGTTTTAAATCAAGACTTAAATCAATCTTTCTGGATGATAACTTGTATTTGAAAAAAACACATCTGGATCAATGAAAGAATGAGCAAAGGTATGGGAAAATTTCTATGCTAGGGACAACTGAGTTCTAGAATTTTTATCCTAGAAAAGAGGTGGCCTAGAGAAAATAAGGTAGCTCTGCAAAATTATTGGGGTCACAAAAGAGTTAAATGGTTTGCTTAGGATACATTATGAGTCAGTGGGAAAGTTATGAATAGGAGCTAAATGGTCCTTCCTGGTCCTTTAGCTGCTGTAGGACCCAGTGCTCTTCAAGAGCATGCACTAACCAGTGTCATGGGTCGTTCTGCAACTAGGCATGGAGGAATTGTTTGTTGAAAGTGGTTTCAAGAGTACTTTAGCCAGAGCAAAGAGAATAAATTGCAATGGGAAGAAAAAAGAGCAGAGACACAGGCAGAAACAATTGTGCTATACTTAACAAGAACCACGAAGGAAATGTTTGGCCGTGGTGATACAGAAAATGTTGGTGCTATGGCAGTGAGAGGGGATTAGTAATTCTTGAATTTTGAGCACGGAAAAATAAAAAGTAGGAAAATTTCTGCTCTGATTCAGATACAGTAAAGATTAGAAAGAAGAGAGGTAGTGAAATAGAGGGGAAAAGAACTGTCAGAGCTTTACAGAAGACTAATTTCTTTTTCTTTCTTTTCAAGGAGTGGCAAATTGAGTTAGCACGAAATACAGATGTGTCAAAGTACCATTCTAAAAACAATTCAGTGCTGGTAGGAATTAGCTCATTGTTAAATGTACTGAAAAGCTGGTTGGAAGCAGAGCATGACCTAATGGGTTTAGCATCACTATTGCAGCTGTGTGAAACCATTCTAATAAATAAACAGCTAAGTGAAGAAAGTATGCTGGATTTTTAAGATTCTCCCAGCTTAACAGGATGTGCCAAGTCATTGTTTTAGCTGTGGGTCAGATCCTTAAATGCTAGAAGGCACTGAGCATCTTTGTCAGCACCAAGATGATGCTGATTCTCACAATTTGATAATCTGACCCCCAAATTCAACCCTTCTCACTGTCTCCCTGATGATAGCACTATGAAAAGCTGTATAGAATGGCACAGTCATGTCTGTTCTACAGTGGTATCAGAGGGACTATGGATGCATAATGGAAAGCAGGATTTCATTCACCCTTACCTGATGAGTCCCTCTTGGACTGGTGCAGATTTTTGTTTTAGTTTGACTGTAACAGTTGTGCTGGGAAGCAGAATTACTGATGAGAGAAACCTGACTGGGGCCCTCCCTGACACTTTGGTTTGTCAGAGATCATTCTGTTTGGAATAATTCAGTGGGATTAATTGCCCTCAAAATTGTTCTTCAAATTGATATTGTAGGAGACTTCTGTACTGCTGTAGTCTCAGGTAAAAGTCCTGTGAAACAGACTGTGCATGCAGGATACTGACAACATCTGGATCCAGGGATTTATCTGGTACACCACAATCCCCTGTTTTGTGAGAATGTTTTTGAGATACAAAATAAATACATTTTCAGTGGTTGCTATCTGGGCTCACTGACTTACTCCTGCCTGCAGATTTCTTCTTTGTCTGAGTAGAGCCAGGCACACAGGAACTTGTGACAAGAGTGCTGTGTGCCTGTGCTAATGGAGGGTTTGGGTTGAAGATTTGCTGTGTTACTGGCAGGCATGACCTTCCAGAGGTCTCTAGTTCTCACTGTTCCACCTTAAGTCAGCAGGGGCTGCCTGTGCCTCTTCTCTTTGAAAGTCAACCCCTAGATGTTACTGTCAGGCCTGTAGTTCAGGTCAAGTCACGAGATTACACCTGTGCTAACCTGCCTGGAGCTTTGTGATGCAGATGCAAAAACATCAGAGAATGATTAATACAACCAGTCATTGATTTATTATGTTCTAGGAAGTAAAGGGGTAAGGCAGACTGGCACGATGCCCTGAGCTCAGCCTCCACGACCATTTCTCTTGTCCTGACATACATCCACCGGCATTTAGCTTCTCTGTTCACTTTCCTCTCCCTTTAGTTTCTTAAACTTCAGGAGTTTATTTTGGCAGGAACGTTCCTCGCTGCTGCTGCTGCTGCTGCTGGAGCTTTCCTCTGAACTTTCTGAGAGGAGATACTTGATTGCAATTGAGTCCTTCTTGTTCATTTGCAAGCAGAGGCAGGAGGATTCGGTCACCTTAAATGACTCCCCCCACATATCCTGGCACATGTCAGTCCCATTTGCATACACCTGTGTGTCAAATAAGAAATGCATCGATTACCTTTAAAAATATTTGAGGTAAAATCAGCTTGTATCAAATTGATAAACATTTCTCACTTTTAAAATACTGGCACTAGAATTAAAAGAGCAGTCTGCAGTCATTTACTGCCTTGCTGTGTGCCATGCTTCTTCTCTTCTGAGATAGCTTAAAATGTTGTCCAGTGCCATAACTGGCAAAAGCGATTCGCCTGTTGTGAGAGCAAGTGGTTACACAAAGTGCAGGGATCAACAGCCAACCTTTGTTCTGCCCTGGGGCTGACAGCCCAGCAGCTCTCTGGGGCTGACAGACCACAGCTTGTGTAGCATGTCAGGACACTCTGACATGCCTTGGGATCTGAGTAGTGCTGAAAGTGCCAGACAGTGCTTTGAATACAGGAATCTTTTTATCTACTGGCCAGAGACAGCCAAGTGGAGTCACAGCTCCGAGGGATCTCATTGTGCCTCCTGCAATCTACTTCATGTCTGGGCAGGACCTCACAGACAAAGAGAAGGGACATAACTTAGCAACTGCTTGAAGAAAGTAAGTTTTCTTCAAGCTTTCAAAGTGCTGTGTCCAGTGGTGCAACTGCCTTTCTGGCTCAAGAAATTGTGAATTGCAGCTTCTTGTATTCTCTGCAAGTAAACCTGTCCTGTCCTTGGTACTACATTGTTTTGTAAGGCCTGTGTCATAGGACCTGTCAGCCACACAACAGAGATACCTCTTGTTTGCTGAGCTCACATTGTGACAACCTTCTGTCCGCCCAGCTCGAGTTTGCTTAAAGAGCTTAGGAGTTATCATGTCCAGACACAAAGTAGGCAGTATGTACACTTTATCTTGCCTGCATTTCTCCCACGTGTTTGTGGTTGAAGTTCAATCTTTTCTGTATCTGTAAAGGAAGCTTTAGGTAGTCCCAGAACAAAGCTGAGAATGAAGTTGGGGGTGGGAGTGATGGCAGGAGTAGAAGCCTTGGGAATTAAAGAGCAGGAGTGTTAATAACTGAAACTGTGGATCAGGCAGCAGGACCATGGGGCTCCACTGCTGACTGATTCACTTTGATCATGTCACCAGCATCTCTCTGATGGAAGCTGTGTTTCATCTGTAATAGTACAAGTAGTCCTTGCCTATGACGCCAATTCCTTAACCCTACAGTGTTTCCCTTAATGCTGTAATTCCTGGATGCTGTGCTGATTGTCACCAGCTCATACAAAGATCTGACACTCCATCGCAGAGCAGGTGCCCTGTCCTTGTGGTTGGGAGATTTCTGCATGGGAGCTGCTCTGTGTGCAATAAATTAATGGCTACAGATTTAAGTCTGTTGTGCAGAAGTGGGACTGGGCATCTGTAATCCTGCAGCTTCTTCTGCTCCAATTATTTTTGACAACAAATTCTTCTTACATTTCCCTGTCTCCCCGTGTGCAAAACTGTGTTGACCTGTACTGTGAGAAAGGCAGATGAGAAGAAATAATAATCACCTTTGCCTTAGAAATCTATCCTTTGTTAATAATACAAAGTCCAAATAGCCCCAAAGACTCTGTAAAACAGCTTTTCAGTTCACACCATCCCTAGCCAGGGCTCGCACCATTGATGCTGCAGCTGCTGGAGGTTGGCTAGTGCACTGGAAGCAATGAAGGGTCAGAAAAGAAAAGATTACTACATCTAGTTCTCTCCTGCCTCCCAAGGCAGGCAGATCTTAGCTCTTTCTTTTCCACTATTCCTGTTCTTTAAAGCAGCATTAGACACTTTCTTCCACCTCCTGTGCAGTTCCTGGATTTCTACCTGCTTTTAGATAATCATTCCAGAAAGTATTAAAAGGTGTCATTTTCTTAGGTCTGTGTGCAATAGACACAGCTACACCCTATTCTTGTGTCCCACAGGATTTGTAACATGTATTCCTGCTTTTCTACTTGCTAAATTGGTAATTTCATTTTGACCTTCATTCTAACTCTGCTTAAAGATCAGACACAGTCAGAATGCTGTAGCAAACGAATGGTGCACACAGCCCGTTTACTCAGCATGTCCCTAAATTACTGCAAAGGATTCTGACTCTTTAGTTTCTTGGAAAATGTTCTAGTCTGTGCATTAACATTGCTTGAGGAGCACTCAGCTGGGAGAACAATGACAAAATGTGCCTCATTTTAACCAGGCTAAAACTGGCCACAATCCATTGTGCATCCTTGTTCCATATTCAGCATTTGTCCCAAACAGGCTTTTAGAACCACGTGCATATGCCACATGTAGAGCTGCTGATTGCTCCTCCATGTGAGCTGAGGGCACTGAAAGAAAGTGAGGATCTGTCCACAGTGCTCTGATGTTGGACAACCCTCTGTGCTTCTGGGTAACTATCTCTCTTTTCCACGAGTTGAGTACAAACCAAGTGAGCCTAGTGTTTACATATCATGTAATTTTCATATGGGAAATGTGTTTTTTTAATTTCTCTGAAGAAACTTCATCTTTTTTCTTACTTACCATGCAAGACTATTTTTGGTGAAAAACATGGGCAGTTTAGGGTGTGGTTCCACTTAGTATAGGAATAGCTGTGCCTGGCTTCAAATGATAAGACCTCTGGATTTGCTGCATGTTTTCCCCTGCAGATGGTATATTTTCTTTAAGAAAAAAGTACAGGGGAACTCAAGGTTAAACACTCCTATCTCTGAACCAGGGACAGTTTGAACAGAGACTGGAGATTATTTACGGAGATTATCATTTTGTTTTTCACTTCATCTGGAACTACTGATGATTTAGCACATCTGGGAAAATAAGCTGTAAGTTTCTGCAGCCCATTTGCTTTTGGCCACCTTCCTGAGCCTGCTGATTCATGTCACTTCTGCAAGGCAGACAGCAATCCTGCTCTAACTGGACTGTGTCTTCCACTTATATCAGTTGCTGAACTGACTTCTTGAAGTACATGCACTTGAACTGAATTCAAAACAATGAATTTGCAAACCTTACTACCAGTCCCTAAGCACTGCACTTCAATTTTGTTTACTTCTGCAACTTGGACAGTTTTTCATGGACTCAGTGAAGTTCAACTGCTAAAAATATTGAAATAAGTTTAGCAGTTTTGAGTTGTAATATATTTCTCTAACACTAAACTTATTTGAGTCACTAAAAAAATCCTACCTGACTCTTGAAAGGTCTGTAGGTCAGGCAGTCTTGCTCCTCTAAGTTTTGTCAGTTCTCATTTCATACACTTTTGCTCATATAATTAGTTATCCCAACCATTAAACATTCTCAGAGAGACAGGCTGAGCTCTCAGAAATCTTGTTAGTGCTGCTCTTTAACCATCAGAGTCACATAGAACAAAGTTAGCTCTGCCTAGCCATCGGCAGACCCCGTGGAGAATACACATCAGAGATAGGATAGGTCTATGGAGGACAGAAGGGAGACAGAAGAATGTCAGGACATAGGGATTTGGAGGATGGGGGAGGACTTGAACATAGCAAGGTAAAATAGAGAAAAGGGCAGAGATGCCTAATAGGCAAGAAAACCTTCAAAAATTCTTCGTGGTTTGTGAATTTACATCCCGATTAAAAAAGACAGAGGTGTGTAAAGCCCCACATTGTGTAAGAACATTATGAAATCCATCTCAGGGTCTCCATTATATGGACAAAGTTCATTTATCTTTTACTTTCTAAATCCCACCGTGGTTAAAATATCAGTGCTGCTTGAACTTTTATTTCACAGGTGGAGTGAATAGTGATTAATTAAATGTATATATCCTTAGGGTAAGTGATGTGCATAAATACAAATGTTTGAAAACTTACTTAAAAAAATGTAGGCATGGCTTGAAACTCCTGAAGTAAAAAGAATTCACTGATGGCATTTTCCTCCCATATATTCAGGACAAAAAAAGAACTCTGTATTTTCTGCTTCAGTTGATCAGGTTTTCTTACCTCACTGTATGGAACACATTTATTCTTACAGTGGTTTTCTCCTCTCTCATCCTGTTCCCAGTCCGTCAGCCAGTTACGAACACATATGGAATCATCTTTGCAGGCTTCAAACCTTCATGGAGATTAGTGTGGTAGATACAGTTATTTATCCCGCTTGATTTTTTTTCAGTGGACTCAGATTCAACTCCAAAAGTGCACAGGGGCTCTGTCAGTAATGCAGTGTGATTGCACAGTGCAGCTTAGCAACAGATCTTCAAGAAATGTGCACATTATCTTAGCTTGACATGTACATAAACTCTGAGCTGGCCAGGAAGACGTAAATCCCCATGAAAACTAAACAGTTCACTCACTACATTTTATACTCACCGACTTAAGCACAGGGCTCGTGTTCTGGGTGTTTTCTGCTTGGTTATGTTTGCTGATGTTCCTGAGTGGAGGAAATACTGGGTGGGAGGAAGTTTCATGGATGCTGCTGTTCAATATTGTGACATAGCACAGGTATGCTAAGGGGTAGCTGTCACTTGAGGGAGATGTGGGGAAGGTTTGTGTTTATAAATTAATATGGGAGAAGAAGAATGATAGTACCTGGTCAGGGAGGTTGCTGTGAGGAATGTGCACTGAAATAAGGCAAAATCACAAACAACGAAATCATGTCAACTAGTAGACTGTCAGCCTCAGAATGATGTTTTCAAACAAGTTAAACTTGAAGAGATGGAAGGAAGATAAGAGTCTTGTAGGGTATAGGTCTAAACTCCTAATTTTTGAATGATTTTTAATTTGTAAGTGGTAGGGTAGAAAAAGGCCTATAAATGGCCTGGAATGAATATAGTATGCAACTGGCTGGTCGACGTGATAAGATCTCATGACTTACCATTATCCTACATAACTTCCTTCCTTCCAGTTCTTTTTATAACCTACTTGTTGGCTCTTACCTTTCTTAAGGGTCATTTTCTGCCAATCAGTTAAATTCAGCCTCACTGGCTTTAGGCAAACTATTCACACCAGGAACTGAGAGTGCCAAACCTGTGAGGCACAGCTTCCAAAAGTTAGCATCATTCAGCATGGTATTTGTTATGAATGCCCTTGGATATATTTTCTGTTTGCCATTTTTCATCTTCAGGGTCATGTTTCAAAGCCATTTTGATACCACAAGGGCTGCAGCCTTACATCGTTAAATGAAACTTGTGGGTTGTCACGTGGTCATAGATTTGCAAGAACTGGACATTGCAGTACATTTGCAAATGCAGAAAGGTCAGAACATGCACATCTGCAGAACTTTCACACAGGTTTTATGGGGTTTTTGGAGGGAGAAAGAGCAGTAACAGATTGAGGGTAACCAGGGCCTGAACTAAACAGGTCTGGAGCAGGAAGCATATATTCTCAAATGTTTTCATCCATGAATCTGCTGTCAGAGGTGGGGGCTATGCTGGAAATAGAGGCTACACTTTGATAAATTGATATTCATGCTATGGTTTCCTCAGGAATTTGAATTAACTATATCTATTGAAGTGTTATATTTTTATTCACCGTTACTTATTGAATTGCCAGATGAAATGTTTCCTAACTATGATTATTGCCTGACTCTGTGGTTTGTTCTATAAGCAGGTAGCAAGGCATAACTCTATCATTAGGAGTTTTTCTTTATCCCAGTGGAAGTAATTATGAAGCCAAGTTTATGAAAAATTGTGACTTGTAAAAAGTCAGATTTCTGCTGTCCATAAACCCATAACTTGTTTCTTCAAATATTAATTAAAACCTGTGAGAAATCTAAACATAAATTCTTAAAAGATCCTCCCTGAACATACCAGTTACCTATGCACAATGGGCAGGATATTTTTATTTTAAAGCTTTTTTCCCCTCTATTTTTGATAATTAGCTGTTTCTTTCTTGTGGGGCACAGGGCCCTTTCACAGGTGAGTGAGAGAATGACTTGTACATCAGGCTCTTTGAAAATCAGTAGTTTCAGGACTAGTGGGAGCAAGGGATCCTAAGACAATAGGAAGAAAAGGAAGGCCCCAAGCTAGTCAAATGAATTTCTTTTAAATTAAGTCACTGCTCATTCAGAATACTCTGCACATTTCTGCTCACAAAGACATACAGTATGCAGCAGGCACACTCACAGTATGCAGAGAAAGTAGGTCACATCACCAGCAGTGCTACAGCATGCTAAAGGGACTCCAGTGAATAGAACATGAAAAAACGTTTCTTTAAATCACCAGAAAGAGTGGGAATTCTGTCCAGGCTCTTTTCTAGCCTCAGGCCTTAAGCAGGGTGAGGGAATGGGTTTGACACTGGCATTAGGCAGGCACACAGACTAGCGTGTGTGGTAATGGGTCGTCATTACATTTTTGATTCAGCCCAGGCATCTATGACGCCAACAGGGGCAATAGATCATTGTTCAGTACTTGTTTAGAGCAGAGCCTGCTCTCTGCCAGGAGACTCCATACTGAAAAAGGGTCAGTTTTTCCTGTGCAATAGCTGTCAATCACCCCCCCCAATACTTCTCGGCAGCAAAAGTTACAAATTATGTTTACCTGCAGGTTCTGGCAGTGCCCAGGGGGCACTGAGGATTTTGCAATGTAATACTGACCCACCATATACACTTTGGTGTAAATCTCCTATATACTAAATCTGTCTTAAACCAATTCATAGATGCAAACAAAACTCACAGGGCACATTTTCTTCCATCTTTACCCTTTCACTTGATATAGCAGTTTGGTCATGACTTTGCTTGCTACTTATTTTGGGGTACATTTGTTTTAGATATTGGTATTCTATCACTTTGCCTGTTAGATCTATTCTAAAGCTCACTGGCAACTCTAGTGCTTTAATAGCCAAATGCAAAATTTGGGAATATTTGGTTCTCAGCTGTAAGATTCTGAGCACTGAGGGAAATTCAAGGTCTCAGTGTTTATCTTCAAGGAGGTCAATAATCTGGATTCAGTTTAGAAGATTACCAAAAACTTAGTCAGTAAGACTGCACATGACAAATCTGTTCCTCAGGCACATGGAGTATCCTGACACAGAAATAAAATTCATCACTAGAGAATACTCTGGGGAAGCTGAGAAATACACCAGCCCTTTTCTCATTATCTTCCATTACAAATCCAAGCTATGCTTGTTGTTTCCTTCTCTGGCACAAAGCAATGGAGACATATTTAACAGCAAATCCTACCAGAATTCTGCTCTGCATACATGACTTTGCCCTTGGAGGGAAGATGAGAATGGAAGTGGATCCACGTGTCAATGATATTCGAGTTGTGTAAGCACAATGGAGAGCACAGCAGAGAGCAGCACAAGAGAGCACTACCATGTGTTCTGTATTTTCTGTGCTTTCAAGAAAAGCTCTTTTATAACATTTTTAGAAGTATCGTAACAGTTTTGCATGATTTTCAGAGCAGCCTAAGGGATTCAGACATTCACAGTTCATTACTTTCGAGGGATGCTAGCAGTTATAATCCTATAGTGTGAACAGAGCCTGTGCTGTTTGTACTACGCTTCATACCAATTTAACCATCCAGACAAGTTACTCTAGTGACTAGGTGCAACATTCATATGGTGCTGACTGAGGCTTATATGTCACATGGTGAAGTTATTTAAGATTCAACATATCAAAACAGGGAGGGAGTAAGGAGAGAAGGAGGGAGAGAGAGAGATGTGCTGGATATGTGTCCCTGGAAAAATCTCATTACCCCATGTGGATATAATGCTCCTACCCCAAGACTAAGGACAGATGGGTGCTGGGTTGTCCCTCCGTGTGCCTTGCACACAAAATACAATGTGATTCCCTGACACTGTATTTTGGGAAATGAAATTAAATGCTATTATGCCGCTAATTGCTATTAATACTGTCAGCATTACTTGGCTGAAATTTTCTCTGATATTCAGGCTCTTAGAAGAGGTTTTAGAGAGTGTGATGATGGAAGGGAAGAGAAAAGGCCAAGGATGAAAAATTAAGGAATTGTAGTGCATTTTAAACACATAAATGTATCCTATCATGATCAAGTATTTAGTTTGAAAATGCTAACTGCATAAATGTTAACTCACAGACATAGACTTTTCAAGGGGTGGCCAGGCCCTCACTGCTCTTAGTGCCTATCAACATGGTGGGAGCAACTCTGACATGTCAGATGTTTCCTATACCACTGCACTGTGTCTTCCCTGAGAGCAGGGCAGTGCTGTCCCTGAGTCACGACACTCAAATCTCTGCCTCCATCCTGCATGCGTGTAATTGTTGTTTTGGGGGTGGTAGCTTAGCAGAGGAAAAAGCAGAGATGGCAACAAGAAATGAAGAAGAACAAGAGAAAAGGTGGTGCAACACCATTGAATCATGGGCATATGAAAGCTAAATAAAAATACTTTGGTTAAAATGCTGAACCTACCAGTCATCACAAAAGCTTTGACACAGTGGAACAGCCTGAATAGCAGCAGTGTCGTTGGGATGGATCCAGCGAGCAGCATGTGGAGAACACCGGTAAAAGCACTCAATTTTCTTTGTGAAATCTTCACAGCTGTGGTGGATGAGAAAAGTGACAAATAAGCCTATTTCTGAGCATAGAGACTATGGCCCCAGTTTTCTAGGCCTGTTTTGATGTGGATGCAATACTACAGATTAGGATAAAGACACAGAAAAATCATCCTTTCACCCTGTTAGTGTCTAAGTTCCCAACTCATTCCTTTGGCATTGTGTGCAGCCTCTGACCGTGCAATTACCACAGCCAGCTACAGAGTGCACAAATGTTTCCATGCATATTTCAGCCCTATTTGTGTAAGCTTTCTGTAAACTTTTGAGGCCTTGAGTTTTCCTGGCAAGAATGATTCCAGGCAATAATAAAATGTCGTTTAAAACTATAGTACAAAACTTTGTCTGCTCTGTAGCCTCATGGTTTCACTAATCTTTAGATTTTCCCACAGCCCAGCTGAAGTTACTTAAAATCACATACTGTGCTGCTCTCCTGGGAGTGGCAGGCAAGAGCTGTTACTTTTTAACATCTGTTTTGGCTTAATTGTTTTGTACTTTCAGCCTTTTATTTCTTTAACTTGCCATGTTTCACAGCTTTAACATCTAACGGGGTACTAAAACTCTTCATTACGGAGACATTATTCACGGTTACAAAACCCACAGGACTGCAAGAATTTTTTATTCTAAATATTCAAAAGTTTCAGTTCTGGACTCTTGTGCATTTTATTTGTGAGGTTTAATAATCAGGTCGATCAGCTTTCTAAACAAAGGAAGAAGCCTGGTCTCTGCTCACCGAGGATTGCACTCGCTGGTGGGTGATGGTTGTGTTGGGGAGCTATTGAGGGGCAGGGTGGTTGTTACCTACTGGGTTTACAACTAGTTTGCATTGCTAGATCTGGTTCTATACTGAAAGCAAACTTGAAAAACATAACCCTTTCATGATAAAATGGCATAAGGAATATATACTGAGGGATTTGTGGGCTTGTGTGTGAGAGAAGAAAAGTCAGATGTTGGTCAGGTATAGAGAAAAGATGATGGGAACTAGGCTGGGTGACATAAACTCTAGGGTGACCCAGTGTCATGAGCAGCTGTGTGGCTGCCACAGCACAGATCCATAGAACCAGGACACAGACAACATCAAAGCTGACTTACGATTTACTGAGCTGCCCACATCTGTTCCAGTAGCTGTTGCTTACTTTAATTACCGGGGAATGAGCCAATTGCTCTGTGAAGTTTGCATAGCAACAGGAAGCTGTTGGGAATAAAACAAACATCTTGCAATAAGGGTTTTTTAAATACTGTATTTGGAAAACTCAGACTGTAAGATGAATCTGCTTTGGACCATACTATGAGAAAGTCTCTTAGTACTAACTAGGAGATGTACTCAAGCTCTGACATTTTGGGGTTTGGAAGTAGCAATGTAAATACTAAGTGAAGTGGACTGGCACCAACAATGCTTTGTCAAGGTGTGCTCAGACAGCCCCAAGAATTTTACCAGTGCTCTGCCAGGTGTTATATCCCGAGGAATACTAGCTTTGAAAGCTACCCAAGTCATAAAAAAAAGGAGCTGAAGAAATATAATAAAAATTGTACTTTGCTCACAATAGAATTTTGATTTCAATCTTTCCCATTTGGTGTCTGCTACAATGAATTTTTATGCTTCATGAACCAAATTGATCTTCGCTGTAAACATTTTTAAGCAGATGGAGCTACAAGAAAGGCAAACTGCATCAGAATTTTTAAAAGAAAATAAATTAAGTCAATGAGAGTTTTGCAGTTGACCTTGTTAAGAACCAGAATCTTACTCTTGGCTTGCATGCAGCAAAATGCCAATGAAGGACACGTTTCAAATACCACGCGTGCTGCATCTTATATAAGTGTTTTAGAAATAAGGGGAACTGCCAGAACAATTAGCGTGTACAACACTGTACTTCTCGGCTGTATTTGGCAAAAATTAAACCACTCTTACATTTAGAGTACAGAGTGCACTCCTGCATATTTGGCTCAGGACTTGGCTTCAGTTTTTGGGTGTCTCCTTCCAGACATCTGTATTTTTGGCAGGTGGATGACATTATGACAGCAAAGAAGGTGACAGCAAACCTCAGCATTGTTATTCGGATCTTTTTCCTGTATGGAGAGAAGTCTTTGTTTATATCCTTTATTTCTAGGAGAGGCCACAATTGAAAAGGAAGGACTGCTTTTAAAAAGCTACCTGGATGATCAAATACAATATGCTCAACAAAGATGCACACAGCAATATTGAGACACACACTCTCCTTTCCTCTCTGCTTAAAACTGAACAGCTACACTTCTGCTACATATTTCTGAGGTCTGGCGACAAGTCATGAAAGTCATTAGTAGTGCAGGCTCTTTATGAAAATGTGTTATAATTTTCAGTATTTAAGAAAACTATTTTAAATTTCTTACACCAACTTGGGTTATCTTTGAACCCTTCCAAGAGACATTCCTCTGCTCCACTAGATTTGAAGAAAATATTGGTTACTTCTAAAATTTTCAGAGTTGTTTTGCACAATTGGAAATTACACATTTAGCACAGCTGCACTTGAGTTCGGAGGGGTCAGCACTTGAGCTGGATAAATTACATTGATTACTTGCCTTTGCTGAGGCTCTGCTAAATTATATTTAAGAATCTGATCCATTATTTTCTGCTTCTTTTGTAGAGTTTAGTAAACAATGCCAGATAAAAATGATTAACCTTTGCAACTAAAATTTCTCTAAGCACTGACTGGAACCTGTTACATAAATCAATGCATAATTCTTTATACATGTTACTAATTTAACCATTCTGAAGTTAAATATTCCTGTTAACTTTCTGGAATCATTTTGCCTGAACAAGGACCGCAGTTCCTCTATGTACCTAGACTTTTCAGAAGTAAGGAACACAACATATACAGAAGAAGAAAACTCCGATTTCTCAGTATTTTCTCACCTCTTTCACTGTCCTTCTGGGTGATACTTCTCCCTGGAACACGAACGCAGTAAATTACTTTTCTCATTTTCCACTTTATATACACACAATCTGGCATCAGTGCTTCAGAATTTGTTTGCCCTGGAAGAGTTCCTTGACCCTTTGGAATGCTAACACAGATTTATCTCAAAAGCAGATGCAATGACCAGCACATAATGCCCTTTTATTGCTTGCAAACTTCGACATGATAAAGAGGAAAGTACAAATGTGGGTTAGAATTAGAAAAACAACAGCTCTCCTATATTCCAAATGCCTCTAACCCCCGCCTCATTTTTTAATGATTCCTTATATTATTAGATTAATTTTCACATGAGTTTCATGGGGCTCTGATCATGGATTTGGGCTTCACTGATTCTGAGACATTGAAAACAATGCTTCTTATTTCAGCCTGACTGGCATAATTTGGACTATACTTGTGACACAGTGACCTTACTGCAGCCCCTGGAAAAGACTCCATGTCTCCTGATTCCCAGATCTTTGCTCTTTCTTCACAAGATCCCTTCAGAACCTGCTGCTGTTCACTCTGGTTGCTCTACCTGCCTCATATGTGCTCTACAATCAGTGTCACAAGCACTACAAGAAACTGTTGATTGTACCACCGATAGTGATTCCTGATGGGATTTCATGGGGAGATCTGCTTTCTGCAAAGAGGATTCTGCATCTGAACGTAAACCATTGCATAACATAGACATGGTGATGACAAATAGTTGCACTCAGGTTCACAGATTGTCTTGTTGAGTCCTGTAAAGAGCAGCACCACTCAGTACCTTGCAATTATTTAGATGCATAAGGAAAGCTGCATCTGTTGTTTGTGTGTTTTAAACAGAACATTGGTTTGTCAGATAATACTCTAAGGCCATTATTTACTAACATTTTTTCTTGAAAAAACAAACATTGGTACAATGGATGTGTGGTATGACTCTCATTGAGCAAACCCACTGAGCATGATAATAAAACAATCTCTATAAGCACTGATTTCTAGCCTAGCTCTAGTAAATGCCTCAAGGTAAAAGCCTTACTGGCCTAAAAAGAGACATTTCCAGATCAGTGGAAACTGAGTGATTTTTATGTTCCAGAATGAATTTAATTAAGACAAGTTTAAAGAATGAATTTAATTAAGGCAAGTTTAAAAAGGCATAAAGAAACTCAAGTAAATCTAATGGCTTATTACCATGCCTTCACCTCATGTGGCTTGATCTAGTATTGGCTGAAATTTGTGGAGTTCCTTGCTGCTTTGTAATGTAAAGGATTCATGCATGCTGTTCAGCACTTGGATCTGTGTATTCATACAAAATAAAGACCACTGCATAGTATGAACATTCACTTTCAACACTGGGATGAGTGTACAGGCTGGCCAGCCTGGCCAAAACACAGAAACAGTCCATGCTCTGTGCCTTACTGCTGGGTTTGCGTAAAGCGCATGGTCACTTGTAAGGTGTAAACGTGCCAGGAGGGCTCTTGTAATGCCTCTGCTCCCTGAATTGGCATACAAATTATATTAAGCTATAGGAAACTGGGATTGCTTTCAGGCTTTGAGTATGAGCCAAATGGGACCACTTGCTGGGAGATTAGGCAGAGTTTCTAGCAGCAGGAGGGAAAATTGTCATATGTTTGTGATTTCCCAAACTTGGCTTTGGTTAGCAATACATGTAAGCAGGCTCAGGCTAAGGAGCTTTTAGCAATCTCAGCTATACGTCTTCATCACCTGAGAAGTGAATCTTGATTCTTTTTTTTAAAAGTATTCTCTGCTAGTTATTTTGTGTGATGTCTTATGCTGGGAAATTTGTTGAAGTTTCTTACCCCTTCTCACACTTGAATGGGTCATTTCTCTCTATTTGTTAAAACTGGACTTCTTTTCAAACACTCATCTTGTACTTTTAAGACTCCTATTGCTTATATCTGTGCACCATAACTTCTATCCACCTTTTCAAGACCTAGAGTTAAAGCATGTGTGATGTTAAGGTATCACCACAGACAGCAATTCAGGGACCACAACAATAAATTATTATCAGTGGATATCACTAATTGATAGTGGCTAATGCTGCTAGTTAAATCAAGCATCTATTCCAAAACCACAAAACACTGCTATACTAGGTCTCAAGAGCCATTTTTCTGAGCAACTTCCTTTCAAGACCTAGAGTTAAAGCATGTGTGATGTTAAGGTATCACCACAGACAGCAATTCAGGGACCACAACAATAAATTATTATCAGTGGATATCACTAATTGATAGTGGCTAATGCTGCTAGTTAAATCAAGCATCTATTCCAAAACCACAAAACACTGCTATACTAGGTCTCAAGAGCCATTTTTCTGAGCAACTTCCTTCGGAGCCATTA